TCTTCTGGGGGCATACTGAGGCAGACTGTATTTTGATTGATGTAGTTTTGATTATTGGCAGTCCTAATTGGAGTTTTCAATCTGTGACTTTTATAGGTTTTATAATTGTTGTTCTTATTGTGTTTTTATGCTTTGTTTATATTGTAAGTCACCTTGAGTTCCACAAGGGAGAACGGTGGCTAACAGGGACTTTTATTCTGAGAGCCTATATATTGTTACTGTATGTGTGTTTTCCTTGGTGTATATTTGCTACTGTGTGTATTAAGAAAGTTTAAAGCCTCTAACCACTTCACTATCAAATACCATGTACCATAGCAAGGGACCATAGCTCAACAGTAAGCCCATGTTGCTTCTGACTTATGGCTACCCTATGAATTAATGGCTTCTAAAACATCCTATCTTTTGTTTGTTCATTTATTTACGTAAAATATTTAACACTGTGGTTCTCAAATATATTTCCAAAGGCAATGCACTTTTGAGGATTTACTAAGGAACTCCACACTACTTTCCTCCTACAGGAGATAAAATGCAGGAATTTTACATCAGTTAACACTCAACGAATTTATATTTCACATTTTTTGCATATAGCACATACTGAATTGAGTCTAAGCTCATTGAGAGCGAAGGGTTTAGACTGAAGTGATTCTACATTCTATTGTACTTACTTGCATAACTAGCATAACAGCACTTAAGCATACTTGTAGAATGCCAGATTCTATGAGTAGGGATTTTAACATCCTCTTATGATTGTCTCAAAGAAATCTCTGCGAGGAGTTTTGTGATTATTCTTGCCTGGATTACTCATGTAAACTATCATTTCAGCAACTAAGCTAGTGCACAGTCTGTACTGACTGATTCTCATCACTACGTAACAACTATTTCTGCCTTTGATGCTCTGCCTACATTGCCATTCAGAGTTCTTTATTGTTGTCAGACTATTCCTGATCACTATGAGGTCCCAATATGCATCTGAACGCACACCCAAGTGCCATTCCTTTCATTGGGTCATGCATTGAAATACACATCCACATCAACTTCCCACATGGAAATACCTTTTAAAAGGGCAGCTAAAGTTGGATCTCAGCAAATGCCTTTTGTTCATTAGGTTGACAGAACTGAGCTTTAAGAAGTCAGCTACACTGTGATCCACAAACGATCTGGATTAGAGTTACTACAATCTCCACAAATTGGAGATTGAAACATCATCATCATCATCATTATTGCAAGGACCCATGAGATTCGTGGGGGGGGGGGGGCTGTGCTTCCACTACCTTCATTCACTTGTCCTCTCCCCAAATGCTTTCCCTGCCCTTTATCCCCCATTATTTCCGTTGCTTCTCTGGCACCCCACTACAGCAATCTTCCTCCTGGGCACTGTCACCCTCCCAGTTGCTTTGTCTGTACTCTGGATGACCTGCCCATCCCACAGCCTCGCCCAGCCACTCTTTAATGTACAGGAAACTTAAAGGTATAGGTTCCCTTGCTCGAAAGCCAGTCGAATCCGACTCTAGGGTTGCGGTGCTCATCTCCGTTTCTAAGCCGAAGAGCCAGCGCTGTCCGAAGACGTTTCTGTGGTCATGTGGCCGGCATGACTAAACACCAAGGTGCACAGAACGCTGTTATCTTCCCACCGAAATGGTACCTATTTATCTACTTGCAATTTCTTGCTTTCGAACTGCTAGGTTGGCAGGAGCTGGAACTAGAGACGGGAGCTCACTCCGTCATGCGGCACACTCGGGTCTCGAACTGCTGAACTACCGACCTTCCACAGCCTGCAGTTCAGCGTCTTAACCACTTGAGCCACCGCAGCTTTTTGCTTGGAAACTTGCCTGCCAACAAAGATGCTTGTAAGAGAGCTTGATCTGACAGCATGTGTATCCCGTTAAACTATGTTCATTAGCTTTCACTATGTAGTTCACTCAGTCTCAGACATTTAAAAATACAGTAAAATAATAAGTAATACTTAAAATACCATAACCTAAAGTTATCCATTTGCTCTTCAACATTAGCAATGCCAAAAAAATGCACAGAGCTCACTAGCTCTGTAGTAAGTATGTCTATCCATCACAATAATGATATGATATGAAAACAGTATAACCAAACGGGCTCTTTGACTTGACCTTTGAGACCATGAAGGGAAGGAGGCAACATCTTTTAGATATACAGAGCCCAAGCCATTTACTCATAAATGTGACAGTCAAGCATTCTGTACAAGGCAAATTAATCACTCGTTTTACATTTTAAAATACCTTATTTATTGAATAATGGTACAGTACATTTCTTGAGCCAAATGACTGTATATTAAATTCCTTGCACCATAAACTTTTTAAATATTATGGCTGACTTTAATAATGTAACTAGATTAAATTCTTCTTCAGTGGTTCTTCAAGTAGAACATTTGAATATATGAAGCCATCATATACTAAATAGGACCATTTGTTCATTTAGCCCAGTGCTAACTACTCTGACTAGCAGTGGCTCTTCAGGATCATAAGAAGAAGTCTTTCCTAGCTCAGCTACCTGAGATTCTTCTAAATGACGATTTCCGGGTTCAACACCGAGACCTTCTGCATGCAAAACATGGGCTCTACTGCTGAGCTATGGTCCCTTGCTATGGTACATGGTTTCTGATAGTGAAGTAGCTGTTTTAAACTTTCTTAATATACACAGTAGCAAGGATCCACCAAAGAAAACCAAAAAGGACAGTTCTATTTCATCAAACCTACATGAAAATGAGATAAAAGAAACAGACTACAAGCTGAACTACAAATCCACTCTGAGGCTCAGCAGGATGTAATGTCAACACTACACTTGCCACAGAAATCAACTGTGCAGCCAAGCTGGATGCATGACATCCATTACTCCATATTGTTGTATTTTCTGGCTTAGAATCAAACAGGAAAATTTATATAGCTGAGTCAATGACAAAGTTCAAACCATTCTTGCTTCTTACAAATCCTTATTAGAGTATTTTTCATCTGTTCTCATCTTTGCTCGAGCATAACTTTAGCATCATAGTACAAGTGCTACAGCAATACAAATTTCTTACTTTTAAGCTACATTTTGGAGAGATGTGGATCTGTGTGTTTGTGATGTGATGACCAAAGCACAGATCGTTAAAACCTAATGCTAAGGAGACTTTCTGATTAAAAATTGGTTTGTTTGTTTTTTTTAAAAAACACCCTGAAATTCACCTTAGTTTTGATTGTCTCTTTATAAGTGAAAAGTTAATTCAAGATTTGAAATCCAATCTAATGTTTTACAGAGGTACCAACTAGCAAGTAAAATAATGCGCCTGGCTTTACTGAAGGTACTTCCCTGTTGCCACTAGGGATGGACACGAGCCTTTGTTCATGATGATCCAGGTCATGATGAATTTTGGCTGGTTCATGGTTTGCAAACTGAAGTTCAAACTACAGCCTGGCCACAAACTTCCATGCACTTTTAAGGAAACTTGTGGAGGTACATGGGGAGCAAAAAGCTTTTCTCCTCCCCGTGAAAGCTGCCAAAAGATCGGAAACGGCTGAGCTGTGGGGGCAGCCTGCTCCTGCGGCTCAGCTGTTTCAGGCTCAAAACAGCTGAGTCTGCTCCTGCGGCTCAGCTGTTTCCAATCTAAACAGCTGAGCTGTGGGGGCGACCTACTCAGATGTTTTGGGCATGAACCTCATTAACCTGGTTCAGTTCGTATGCAATCCATCTGAGTTCATGGTTCGGTTTGTGGTTTGCTGTCAACCACAAACCAAACTGCATTTTTGTGGCTCATGCCCATCCCTAGTTGTCAGTCCAATCAGAGACTATAGTGTTCCAACAGGAAGAACATCATCAAGGAGACACGAAGCACTACCATTGTTGATTTGCTATTCATGGCAATCATATTAATCCTCATGGAACAGTGTTTATTGGAAGAAGAACTAAACTCCCACCATGTGACTTGCAGGTGCTGATTTGCACTATGCTGATAACTGCAAACTCATTTATGTGTGCTGCCACCATATGAATAATTCATTTTAGCTTGTGTCACTTAGAAGGGGAGCGGTGGCACAGTGGGTATATCCCACTGCCTTAACATCTGAACTGTATCAGTTCAAGCCCCGCGCTGGTGTGAGCAGCCAGCCTGTTGTCCCCAGCTCATCGTCCACCCAGCGATTCGAAAGCTCCGGCGAGTAGATAAAATGGGAACTGCTCCTTAGCGTGGGCAGGCACGCCAATCTTCCTTCTGGAAGGGCGTTAGCTGACGGTCGAACGTCGATGGTCACGGCTTGTAAAGGCAAAACAGCTTCCCGGCTACAAATTGAACTCCTGCAACGGACGTTCCGGCCAGGCGGTGGCAGTGTGGCGACAGACATACGGGTCCTGGAACCTGAGCAACAAAGCAGCTGTGCGGGAAAATGACGAAGCCAGCCACGAAGACGTTCTACACCGGGCAGTATCGGCGGCGTGTACAGTTAAAATGAATATATATGTTGTCTTCCCTATCCCCTACAAACATTGTTAGTCCCTTGTCTATATTTGAGTAACTGTACATCGCTTTGAACCCACTGGGGAAAGCGATTAATAGAATAAAAGTATTATTATTATTATTATTAGAAGTAAGTCCTGTTGAAGTTTATGCAACTTATTGCTGTGTGAACATATTTGGAGCTGGGCTTTTCAGACAATATGGCACATTTAGAATATCAAGTCCACTTTTAAAGATGCAATATATCAGGTAGCTTTTGGATGAGCATTTTGGTCCTCATGCAAATGATGCTGAGACTTTCTCATGCAAAGTCATATCTCCTTAAGCACACACATCACTGACAAACAGGCCTGTAGTGCACAGGCAAGTATAGCACACCGTATAATAACAATTGCTCAGTATGATCCTTCTTTAATCATCTTGAAGTTTTAATCTGGTTAGAGAATTGCTTGGGAATATTGTTGGATAAAACAAGGAAAAAGTTGCACTATTTCCTGTTAACTTTTATATAAGATCAATAAAAGATATTTTCTATGTGAGGAAATGAAACCAGGTACACGTGATTCTTATTTTACACAAGACAAAAAAACAAATTTACATTGTAGTAAAGCATTACTTACAACACCACATTCTTATCGCATACATTTTCAGTGCCGTTATTTCGTGAAACAAATGTTCACCTGCATTGTTAAATATGGGTAGCAAGATCTGCAAGTGATTGCTAATTATATGAGCTTTTTTAATGTGCTTACAATCTACACATTCAAAATTTGAAAATGAAATAAACATAAACTCATTTGAATTAGCAGGCTGAAACATTCAATCAGGTATCTTTCCCCCACACTGAATATACAGGATAGAGGATGATGGCATGAAAGTACCCAGCAATATGTTTTTACATAGAGCAGATTATTGAGGTTTTTTTAAAAAAATTACTCAAAAATTAAGATATTGCAAGCTACTCAAAATCTAAAATATGGGGACTTTGCACAGTACATTATACTTAGTCAACACATAATAGATTAAAAGCTATAAATTCAGTGCTTCTGCTTAAAAATTCAGAGTTTCTGACATCATCTTCCACCATTCCATTAACTCTTCCTTTTCCTCTTCTTTTCTTTCAGACAAAGATTCCAGGTCAAAGTCAACCTAGGCAAAAGGAATAATGATGGGAAAGGTGGGTATATAAATATTTTAAATCAGTAAACAGATAATAAAGACTTTTGTGCATGCTACATAGTACACAGAACCATATTATGAGTTCAAAGGACATCTTGAAACTCTTTGGGACATGATTTTTCCCCCCCTCTTTGGGACATGAATGGCCAAGGCGATGGAAGGGATTCCCAGCCTATCAAATAAGATTAGTGGGATGGTTTCCTTTATTGTTAAAGTTTCCCCTATGGGATTCGTTTATCAAATCTCACTGAATTTTAGTGGCCAACACAATGAAATTCTCTTCAACTCCCTTGTTAGTCACAAAGTAAAACAGTGACCCACTGAAAACATCTTTAATTAGGTTTTCTTTCCGTAATCTCAAGGGGTCAAGATAGCTTACATCGTATGAAGAACAGAGAATGCAGGAGAGTTAGATTTGAGTCCAGCAGCACTTTTAGAGACCAACAAGATTGGGGGCGGGGTATAAGCTTTCCCGAGTCAAAGCTCCTGTTGTCAGATACCAGGGAGCTTTGACTTTCAAAAGCTTATTCTCCCAAAACCTAAGGTGCTAATGGACTCAAATCTAGTTGTTCTACGGCAGACCAATGCAGCTGCCCTCTGAAATTATAGAATGCAGTAGCTGTTTCAGTAGCTGCTCGCACACGGCTGGATCCAGACTCAACTGTCTAATGGCAGAATGAAGCTTCCGTGTCTCCCACTGCAGCTCACTAATCTCCACAAAATAGTGCTCCTGGGAGATTAGGGGACCCTGAGGGATGACATGAGGGGCACCTGCAGCAAGAAGGGGAAATCAGCCGAGAATGCTCAGTTAGGCTGGGTCCAATCCATAGTCTCATCTAGCCTTGAGGGTAGAATACAGGGAGGTTTCCCTTGCCCGAAAGCCAGTCAGATCTGGCTCTAGGGGGCGGTGCTCATCTTCGTTTCCAAGCCGAATAGCCAGCACTGTCCGAATACTTTTCCGAGGTCATGTGGCCAATATGACTAAACACTGAGGCACATGGAACGTTGTTACCTTCCCACCAAAACAGTATCTATTTATCTACTTGCAATTTCTTGCTTTTGAACTGCTAGGTTGGCAGGAGCTGGGGCCAGAGACGGGAGCTCACTCTGTCATGTGGCACTAGGGTCTCAAACTGCTGAGCTACCGACCTTCTGGTATACAGCTCAGCGTCTTAAACTTCTGAGCCACCGCAGCCCCAGAATACAGGGAAGGCAGTACTGAATCATACCGAATCATGCATAGAGCTAGTGAGCTTTTCTAGACAATACCATATTACAGCATATCTAACCACTAATACAAAACTATGGATGTTTATGGTCAAATAATGCAGATCAATCAACACTTACTCTAATGGCAGGACTGAAGGGAACAGCCACTTTTTTAGTTATTGCTAAATAGCCTGGTGCTGAGACTGTCACTTTATAATTTCCAGGTACAAGTAATCTCCAGTAATCACCATCCTTAGCTGAGGAAGAAAGGCAACATGTGAATATCCCCCCCAAAAAAACATTTTAAAACATAATCAATTCTCTTTCTCATGCATTCTGATAAGTTTAAAATTCATTCTACACTGTTCAGAGGCATTTTTTTTTTTTTACAACATGCAGGTTTCAAAATGAACTTCAGGTCTGTGTTCTATGTTTACAGTGGAACTAAATGGAAAGTACTGAAATTAACAGTGGCTACTTTGTAAAAGGCTCCATACGGAATGTCCTAATAGTCAAGGAAGCTTTACCTGTGGATCTAATCTGGGAAATGTAGCCTAAAGTAAAAAAAAAATTAAAAATGGATGGGGCATCGTACCTTTAAAATTTCACACAGCTAAGAACTTCTAAAACCAATGTAGACCCACTGATTGTTAAATCATAAAATAATTATTTCTGTGGTGCAAAGAAGAATGATGGATGGGGCATCGTACCTTTAAAATTTCGCACAGCTAAGAACTTCAAAAACCAATGTAGACCCACTGATTGCTAAATCATAAAATAATGATTTCTGTGGTGCAAAGAAGAATAGTAAATGGTAGCTGTCTTGGGGCTCATAAAATCTTAATAATAACATAGAAATAATTTAACATTTAACCTATGGCAGTGCCTCCAATATAGTCCATACCCAGGAAGGCTTTGTACACACGATTAGTAGGGTACACACTGGATTTTCCTAGCACCAACAACCTAATTCACACAGACATTTTTAAGTGTATTGGGACATCCCCATGTACACAATGGTTATTTCTCAGGGTTATGGTAGACAAACAGAAAGCCCCTTCCATAAAATGTATTGAGAATAATCACTAATGCATTTGATACATACTATTTGCAAATGTTTAAGAACTAAATCAAGCAGTTGTAGCTTTAGTATAACAAGAGAACTTCACTGGATGACAAGGAACTCCACTTTGGGGACATTTCTTCAAATGTCATGGCCCCTCCATTTGAAGGGGGGAAGAGGAGGCCATGGGAATTTATTCCTTTGAGGAAAGCCCGGGGGCTCAGAAGACCCCTAATGCTGCCACAAATACATCCCCCCGAACAGATGCTCCTGCACCCATATCCTGTAGAAGAGCAACACACCCCAAGAACCCCAGTAGTGGGCTCAGACTAAGGTTAGTCGTCTCTTGACTACATAAAGCTCTAGGCCACGAACTGGCAGCCTCTGGCAAGACAGCCAGAGATAACAAGCCTAAGTAGAAATTGCCCTGTGTGGAATAAGAGCCTGGCTTGTGGTCCTACGTTCTTGTCATCAAGTAAGGTGGCTTCTCCCACATTTACAGGATGAGGCCCCAAATAAGTCACTGAAGGTTCAGGCCCCAGAGATAGCACACAGAATGGGAAGGCTGCTTTCACAGGGGACTACTGAATCGTCAACGCCAGCTAGGATCCTTTCTGATCAAGCACCTTTACCTAAACCAGTTCATGAACAACCAGTGCAGAATGTGCCCAGCTGGTAGAAACTAAACCAGACTTATTCCATTTGACAAATAATAACTTAATACCTGAAAATATATCATATTACCTGATGTAATATCATGATTTATTCCTTCCACAGAAACGGTAGCATTAGCAATGGGATTGCCCTGAAGATCTCTAACAAAACCCTTTATCCCTCGATGTATCTGAAAAATAATTATTATTTATAATTATATTTTGCATTTGCCTATATTGGCTCATGAATCCTTAGACTCCTGTAAGGGAGGCCAGTATTATCCTCATATAACGGCAGGCAGAGAGACACTGGCCTGGCTAAGGCCATCTGATTCAGTTAATGGCTTAGGTGGGATCTGAACCAGCAACTGAACCAGCTTGGGAGCCTGTGTATTAAATGATTCTGCTTCACCAGCCCCCCAAAGATGAATTCATGAGAAATGTGTTCTAAAGAAAAACACACCCGTATCATTGACCACTCTCATCTACGGTACAGTGGAAATAATTTACCAGCAATATTTTCTCATCATCACAGCACATCGTTTTTGCTTACATCTGCATGCACAAGATAGAGAGAAAACATTTGACATTATGGCTAAGTAGGCATGCCACCTACTCAAGGAATTTTTAGTCAGTTATCAGTTGTCTTTTAAGTGATTTAATTAAATTAATTACACTTAAACTTAAAAACATTTGCATGTTACCAAAATATCAGCAGAGGCAGATATAGGGAGAAAGCATAAAAACTACTTGTTATTAGAAAGGACCTTTTAAATATAGTCTTCTTCTGTTTCCTACTAGAATCATATAACAGAACATGCAAAAATAATGAGGTTGCACTTAAGCTTCAGTTATGTTAGAGAATAAGCTTGATATTTGCTTTATGAACTATTTATTGCTACACACAAGGGACTGTGCACACACACATAGGCTCAGAAAGCTGTACACTTTAAGTCACCTGTTGTGATGACACACATAGAAGGTGCCTGCACATGCCTTACATGTAAATAAGGTTTCAGCTTCACAGTTGCCCAGCCTGGTGAAGAAGCACAAGCCTCCATTATTGTGAGCAATGGAACCACAACCTCAGGAGGAAACAGCACCCATGACAGATCTACTTGTAGTCACGTACAACCCATCGCTTGCTTTGTTCCTGAGCTGGTATTTCCTGCCATATAGACATTTGGTTACCAAAGAAACTGGCCAGCTTCATCAACACTACAATGGAGCATCCTAACGCCTAGGTTTCACACCTGTCCAGATGCCATACTCTGAGTAAAGTTTTAGGTTACAATATTGGCCACCCCTCTTAGGTAACCTCCCTTTTCCCACAGGCAACCAATAGGATTGTTTTTGGGACTGACTAACAAGTAGGTGGGTCAAGAGGTTGGCACAATTACCACCCATCTCTTGAACCCACTAGAAAAGGAGAGAACCAGTCACCTGGCCCCTCCTACTTGATCAACTAGCATCTCCCCTGCAACAACCCCTGTCTGCTTTAACCCCTCTTAAATCCCACTTGCTATCCCCAGCCCTTGCTTCTACTTTTATCTCTTGATCTGCAGTCAAGAGACCCCCACACAGTCCGGCTAGTTCTGGTAGTGTGAATCCTTTTGTTTTCCATTCCTTCCCCTCCATTCTTCATTGGAACAACCAACCTGCAAGACAGATAAGTATCGCCTACCATCACCCCTACCTGCTAATGCAAAAGTGCTTATTTCTTATTGTAAATTTTAAAAAACTTGATTGAATGTGTGAGTGCATCAGTATTGTTTGTATGAGATATATTTTCAAGTAAAAGACATCTCTTTTAACTACCACAGCCTCGAATCCTTTACTGGTAACCCTTGGTGGGAACAGGACCTTGGTATAAACTGGCAATAACCCATTTATAAATTGCCAATTGCTGTAAATAAAGCAATTCGGCTAACAGTTATCTGATTAAAGATAAAGGTCTCGTACAGAATCCTGAAAGCCCTTGCATGACTGCTTGTATCACTGTAGGGGCCTGCCAATTGGGGTGCTTGTCAATCAGCAAGAATCACATGGAGACGATAACTCCATTTGTGTGGCATGCATTTGTGTGGATGCAGGTACAGTACCCAAGTAAAAGTGCTGGCTCATAACACTGTTGCATCCATGTGATACCTACCAGTCATAAACCCACCACAGCAGCTTGGAATAAACCTGCAAGCAATCAGATGGGGTCCATCAGGCGTCTGAATCAGGCCCTTGCTGATTACCAGTTTATGCAACTAAACTTTGTAATCTTGATAAATGTGCTTGCTGAAATAGCTGTTTGTATCGTTCTGCCTTTCTAAAAAATAGTTTTGATAACTGAGGATCAAGAATATTTTTTGCGTTTTATGTATGCCCATGCCTGGAAGTCATAGCGACCTCTGGCAACTCCTACTGGGGCATGGAGAACGTTCAGAGAAGTGGCTTGATAGCCCGCCTCTGGCCTCCTAGCCCTGGTATTCTCTGGAGGTCTCCTATCCACATACTTGCCAGGGTCGGCCTTGCATAGCTTCCGAGATCTGACGAGATCAGGGTTGCCCGGGCTATCCAGGTCAGGGCATTGAGGATCAAGATTTAACTGCTGTAAGCTATCAAGACTGTTTTTATTGACACAACCTCATAAGACAGTGGTCTGATTTCTTATGGTGTTTGTTGAATAGAGCTAGCCCTCCCACCTCTCTTATTGGTATAGGCAGCAGATCCGTGTATGCATTTTTTGCACATGTGGATCTGCTACCATTGAAATGGACATGGTAGCCTATTTGCAAAGAGTACCATGTGCATACTGACATTAAAAAAAGGAACTGAAGGATCAGTGGCAGAAGTGTTAAGTTTGTCAAAACAGGAGGGAAACCTCCAACTGAAACCTTATAAGCCTCAGGTAAACAGAAGGCAGTTTTGCAGCAATAAAAAAACCCATGAACTCCATGCAGACTTCTGGATGCAGTTAACTTTGTAAATGCTCTAACTCAACAAGCATGGTTGGCTGGCTTAATATTGGAAATATTTTATTCGGCAAATGATGGCATTTCTGTCTAGAATAAATCCTAAATAAGAGTTTTCATTCACCATCCCTACCCTCTTTCATTAGAAGGCTACCATGATTGCAAGGAATCAGAGGCTTGTGAAAGAATTTCTTCTGGTTTAAGTTACAGAATATAAAGGACCAAGAATCTTCAATATGGATTTCTTTCAAGGAAAAAACCAGGGGGAAACATTATATACAGCCTCAGCTAGGTCTTGAACTTGTATATGCTTCTGGTTCTTGATTCCAAGACCATGATTTGTGCATCTCTGTTTATTGTATGCAATACAATGATTCACTGCATTGTTCTCCAGTCTTGTAATCCTTCTTTACTGTCTGTAGTATATTGTGCTTTTAATGTGTTGTTCTCTAATTTTATTGGTTGCGTGTATTATGATGTTCTTCCTGCATTGTTTTTAGTTTTTAGTTGTAATCTGTCTCAGATCTCCATGAGACAGGTGGACTGTAAAATAAATAAACCTCTGACCACAGAATATAATTTTTCATGATGGCTCCTTACAGTTTGTATGAACAACATATTGTGCAGTCACTGCTCACATGTATATCCTGGTGATATAAGTACCATCTCATGAAGCTAGGATTCATATACTTTTCCCCATAATTGTGGAAGTCTAGAACTTTGTCGCTTTTTTAACAACAACAACAAATTTCTTTGGGATCATGTGCTTTCATTTGTAAAGTTGCAACCTTTGATAAGCATCTTTGGCTAAAAGCTATCAAAGCTAACTGTCCATGGATGAATGCATACAATAATTTCTCAGGGGAAGTTGTGAAATTTCCTTGTCATATTCTTTCAGCTAAACTTCATGTAAAGGTAGTCCCCTGTGGTTAAATACATAAAAATGTTTTGAAGAATCTTGTCTTTGAAAGTAGATCAATGTGTGATAAAATGCAAATATGAGCTCAAGGATGCATCTGAACAGAAGAATATTTAAATATGGGGAATGACAGGAAAATCCAACCACATAGTTCCCTCCTATATGATAGTGTATTCTCCCATTACATAGCTGACGTTTCATTAAAAAAAACAAATATGAGCTCAAGGATGCATCTGAACAGAAGAATATTTAAATATGGGGAATGACAGGAAAATCCAACCACATAGTTCCCTCCTATATGATAGTGGTCAGGCAGCCAGTTACATAGCTGACCTTTCATTTAAAAAACTCATTTCATTTTACCTGCTCAATGTAACTGATAAGTGCATTCTTATTGTTCTCCCAATAGCTCTTCAGAGTTTCTTCAGGAGGGAATTTTTCACAGCTGAGTTCCACAGTGATTTCAAAGCAATTGCTGCTAAGGTAATTGAAGTCCTGCATACCTGCAACAATAAGACACTTTAATAAACTCAGACACTGTTTGAGATATAGATGAGACCAGGTGTTTCCATGCAACATTATGGCTGTATTTAGATGTCATGACAAACTGTATTTAAACAGAGGTCTGTCAGCACTGAGCACTATCGTATCTTGTTTGCTATGCTCAAAGCACTTCCCTCCCTCCTCCCCTCATATGCAGATCTTGAACAAACACTTCCGAGTTTGATCAAGCTCTTATTTGCTGTGATGCCTAAATAGAAGTGACTTGCTGACTTGGGGTTTGCTTGCTCGATATAAACTGGAACTGAGTCTTGGCAGAATCCCAATATAGAATCCAACCACCTGGTGGAAGTGAGGATGGGGAGGGGGGCAAAACTCGGGATGCCACAAATGTTTCAGTGAACCTGTTCTGCAGACAAGCTTATCTTGTTCATCATCAGACCATCAGCCAATCAGGGATACTTTTGGATTACATTAAGCAACTCAGACAGCTGCAGAACCCTAAATTTGCAGCTGCCTGTTGGACAGAAGCTGCCTCACAGCTGATTGGGGACCAGCTGTAAGTTGGGGTCTGACTCACCCACACAGCAAGATAACTACCCAGTGAAGCTGGAAAGGGAAGAGGAGAAAAGGATTGTTACTTTTCCCACCCTTCCTGGACAGGGACAAAAGTAATGCTATTGATCTCTGCATTGCAAATGTCAGAGATAGTGCTTGTTTCTCTGCCCTCCTGTCCAGGTTGGGTGAGGACAGAAGCAATGCTTTTAATGTCTGCATTGCAAAAGGGAGCATAGAAAGAGCTTGTTCCCCTCCCCCAGTTGAGTGGGGACAGAAGCAGTGATTTTAATTTCTATTACAAAAGGGAGAAAAGAGCTGGTTTCTTTCCTTTTCTCTGCAGCTCAAGACAAAGACAAGGAAAATCAGCTGGGCTTCATACACATACAAACAAATAATTTACTGCATTTCAGCAAGTCTGGAAGTCAGCAAAGTTTCCAGGATAGGAGATCAGAAGAATCCAACTTCCAGATGATCATCTGGAATTCAGTTCCTGATCCCCCCCTTTGAATGTTGCTGGGTACAGAGTAAAATTTCCCCAGCAGTAGATCAGAAGCCAGTTCCCACTGACCGTGCATCAGCTGGGAGTCGACTTCTGGTGGCTTCAAGAAGCCTGTTCCTCCAAACACACACAAACACACTGTGAACAGGTGAACAGCCAGTCAATAGATTGGCTGCATGACCACTGCAGCTGAACAGGAAATGAGTTAAAATTGAGCATCCCTGAACAAATCTCAATTTGCCAAGACATCTGCATTCAGATGTTAGGGCCAGCTGAGGTTTGATCAGATTTCAATGACGCTCAATGTGCAAGAGCAGGATGCAGATAGGAGAAGGAAAGGGCACAGGCAAGCACAGCAAAGCAGCTGAGATAGTACTACATTCCAATAAACCTCTGTTTAACTACTGGTTACCATGATGTCCAAATGCAGCATGTCCTTTTTGCATGTTATGCATCTTTAATGAGCTTATAAATACTAAAAACAATTTCTGAAATTTCTCTTTCACTCTCTATAAGGTTGCCAGGTCCAATTATTGCGCTGGCGGGGAGGGGGAGGGACTTCCTGGGAATGCAGAGGAGTGTTGTGATGTGTATACATAAACAGGAAGTGACACAGCCATGTCACGGACACCGGGGGGTGCAATGCTCTGGTTTGGGGGCAAAACTCTATGGTAGAATTTGCTTCAAATCATAGAGTTTTGCCAAAAAACAAAGTGTTGCCCTCAGATGTCCCTAACATGCCTGCATCACTTCTGGCTTTCATAGGCACGCCACAATGATTTTTGGGTTCCTGCCGGTATGATGGGGGGGAGGAGAGGAACGCCTGAAAGTGGGAGACCCTCTCCTGCACTGGGCAGTCTGGCAACCCTAAATTTCTACCTTTCATAAACAACATTGCACACAAATACCACGAAAGCTCAGGCGCTTTCATGATCATAGTGAAAAACCTTCAACAAAATGAGATTTGGAGGCCTGTAACCTAGGAGAAAAACCACATCAAACCTGGGCATGACTTTTCATTAATGTGAGCTAGGAATAATCAGCTACAGTTAATTGAAATAAGCAGATGTAATGTTATAGGAAAACAAGGGCCAGTATGGTTTCCCTAGAACTACAGATACTGAAATGGCCAATTTAATAAAATGAATTTCTTGGCAGTCATAGCTTGGCATAATGACTGTACCAAATCTAATACTACATCTGGACTATATATTCTGATGGGATATATTTGGCTTCAGAAGCCCTGCTTTCAGAAATGAAAAACATTTTCCAGGTATAGTTCAATTCTTTCCAGATGAACAAGAAAGCATGTTATTACATTTTCAATAAAACATGCAAATAAAAGATGATAACAAATCCAGTGCATCTTTAAGAAATAATCTGAAACAGACAACTCTTTCTAACTGCACAATTCAAAAAACCAACTGATACAATATGGGGGTAAACAGAAGACTGGACAAGCATGGTGCCACTATAACACTGAAATGCGTTTGACAGTACAATTACTAGTTGCATGTGTTTAAGGCATTATGGATCAATCAAAAGCATATGCTCTCCAGTAAAAACAGGGTGATGAATGAGTGGAAGGAGGCTTCCGTGAATGCATTCCCTACTGAATCAAGAGTGAATGCCCACACTCAGGGTGTGTAGTTCCCAGGACTGTATAAGAATACACAGTACAGAATGCCTGCCTGGTGCATCGGATGCAGCCAAACACAGTACAGAATGCCTGCCTGGTGCATCGGATGCAGCCAAACACAGTACAGAATGCCTGCCTGGTGCATCGGATGCAGCCAAACACAGTACAGAATGCCTGCCTGGTGCATCGGATGCAGGCCTTCTAATACACCTGTTATGGAGAAGGGGGAGGAAAGAAGATGGGCAGAGTTCAGAAACCACGTACTTAAATAGATCTACCAGTGATGTCAGAGCTGTACACACATTTTGACCATAATATTATTGAGGAAATTAGACGTTTGTTATGTATTTTACCTTGGAAGTGAGGGTTACTGCCAATGAAAAAAAATGGCCATTTTGAGATTTTACTTCATGAAACAGAAGGTTTGGACACATATGAGTTCACTGTTCACACATGACAGCACGCACATGAAAGGACCACTTACACTAGCAATAATTTGTGGAAACAGAAAACTTTTTGCATAATTGAAACTGGCTGTAAGTTTAAACAATATTTTAACATTAAAAAAATTCCCTCTTGGGTTGGGATGTCCCGATCTTCATTGCAAATGAGTTCATCAGACAAACCCACCTCTTTCAACGGGAAGTGTCTATGGTGAGCCAATCCTGGGATTACTTTGCTGGCCTGGCAAGCATTGCAAATGCCTCACAAACTGGCTAGTGGCTGCGCGGTAGTTTTTTTTTTACCTACGAGCCTTATTATTTGCTTGCTCTCCGGTCATAATTAACAGACAGAGCAGCCAGAAATGGTGACAAGAGGAGAGGGACTAGGAAAAAATGAAGACAACTCCAGGAAGGGAGGAAAGGTGTAGACTTTGTGTTTCATGGCTCCTTTTAAGTTCTGTCATGATTCACAAAGGTTTCTGGGAAACTTACTTAATGGGCATGCTCGGTGGGCTAGTGGCTGCGCAGTAGTTTTTTTTAACTACGAGCCTTATTATTTGCTTGCTCTCCGGTCATAATTAACAGACAGAGCAGCCAGAAATGGTGACAGGAGGAGAGGGACTAGGAAAAAAATGAAGACAACTCCAGGAAGGGAGGAAAGGTGTAGACTTTGTGTTTCATGGCTCCTTTTAAGTTTTGTCATGATTCGCAAAGGTTTCTGGGAAACATACTTAATGGGCATGCTCGGGACACATAAACAGTGCAAAGAACAAAGCAAATTTGCCTGGACACATAAACAGTGCAAAGAACAAAGCAAAGAGAAAGAAAAAAGAAGTCATCACACACCCCCATTGCTCCCTGGGAGGCAGGCAAGGCGAGAGCTCCAAATCCAGTCACTTCAAGGGCGCATGCTAAACTATGGACTAGACTTTAAATTCTTGTGGCTCTCTGTCCTTTCAAAGATGTAGTGAGTCAGAGAGATTTCCAGGTTCCCCCCCCCCATTTCCCTATACAAAGAGAAAAGTCTAGAAGGATGAGGTTGGTTGGGTAAAATGAAAGCATTCTTCTCTGTCCTAGATTTAGGAACGGAGTATCTTACACTAGATACTGTATTTTTGTGCTTCTGATGGGCACTGCCGGCCCATGCCGGTTTTTCTTTTCATTCACTTTATCAGCTTTCAACCCATTCTGCCCATTTCTGCTCTCCCCCTCCTGGTGTGTACATTTGTATTGTAAGCTCCTTGGGGTAGAAACCTTACTTTAAACTTTTCTTTGGCTGACTTTTATGCTGCAAAAAAAAGTCTAGAAGGATGAGGTTGGGTAAAATGAAAGCATTCTTCTCTGTCCTAGATTTAGGAACGGAGTACTTTCTTACACTAGATACTGTGTTTTTGTGCTTCTGATGGGCACTGCCTGCCCATGCCGGTTTTTCTTTTCATTTACTTTATCAGCTTTCAACCCATTCTGCCCATTTCTGCTCTCCCCCTCCTGGTGTGTACATTTGTATTGTAAGCTCCTTGGGGTAGAAACCTTACTTTAAACTTTTCTTTGGCTGACTTTTATGCTGCAAAGTACTGGGTGCAACCTGTGGACTTGGCTGCAATATGTGATATGAAGGTACGTAAGTTTGGGGGTGACCCCATGTAAAAATGAAGAGGATTTGTTTAAAATCATCTGGTGAATTATGTAGCTTCATGAATAAAACCCAGCATTTCTGATCACATGGAAAGGACTCTTCTTTCCTGTCCAGCTCACCACAGAAGTTCCGATTGCCCATCCAAGTTAGAAGGAACAAACCAACAGCTTTGCAAATGCTTCAACTGGCTGATACTAATTTTAGAGAAGAATGCTGCATAGAGGGTGTCATGCAGAAATGGAGCCCGCAGAGAAATTATTT